ATATATATATATATATATATATATATATATATATATATATATATATACCAATGTACCAGGGCAGAGAAGGAAGTGAGGTTGTGGTGATAGGAAAGATAATATGATAGGGAAAGAATAAAAGTACAATTTAAACTAATGAATTAGTGTTCAGTTTTCAGTGGTGGTCTTGCAAAAAAGAAGACATGGCAGATGCAGACCTGCAGGGATGCTGGCGCACCGTTTCACTACAGCATCTGACTCCATGTGCAACAGTAAAGCCGAATGTATTTATTACACAAGGCCACAGCAATCAACGCTGCCTTCAACACCTCACCAACTGTATGAATACCATTGTTACGCACGGTTTAATTACGTTCCAGTTACCACACACACTGCGATCGGCTTTTAAACAAGCCCCGGTAATTAGCAACAAAACTTGCTGTTAGAAGGCTTACAGAGTAAAGGCCCATTCAGCAAAATGGAAGGAAACAACTAGCAAAATTTGGTTTCAATATCGGCCCTAACAGAGCGGCTGGAGACAATGCCTGTTGTGTCCCCTAACTTTGGTGAATTGCTGCAATGAATTCTAATCGATTCGGTGGATGTAAATTTCAGCAGGATGCATTCACAATAGTCACCCAAGTGTGAGGGGAGTGTGCCTGCAGTGATGTGTGTGGAAGTACATTGGAGGGTTCATTTGTGTGCAAAGGCAAATCAGTGGAGGAGAGCAGCTCCAATCTACTGGGCATTTCCCCACCAGCTCTCTCTCTCTCTCTCTCTCTCTCTCTCTCTCTCTCTCTCTCTGCTGGATTAGAGACTCGTTTAATCTCGCCTTCTCCTCTGCTTCCCTCTCCATCTCTCCCCCCCAACCCTCTTATTTCCTCCCTGTCCTCCCATCACCCCTGCTGCCCCGTCTTCCACTCGTCCCCTCCCTCCTTCTTCATCACTTTCTCCATCCATCACTCTTTTTCTCCATCTCCCTTTTGTTCAGCCATTTCCTCTCTGTCTCGCTCGCTCTCTCTTTTCCATTTTCCTGCTGTTTCGGCCTCAAACCATCTGAGCCCTCCAAGTCGCTTACCCTCAACCTCCCCACCCTCCCCCACTCACCCCCACCCTCCACCATGGTTCCTTACATTGTGAATCAAAGCATGTCAGTAATTTAATATTCAGCAAAACATACTGGAGGAAATTCTTTATGCATTTTGTCAGATCCCTTTAAATCTTGTTGGATATCTCACTCATAAGAGTTCCCTCAGAGAGATTTACTGTGGATTGGAACTATCTACTAGCAGAAAGTGTTTATAGTCCACTGTTCATACCAAATTGTACTATATTTCCACATGTGGCCTCACAGAGTGATATGTTGGTCACAATTAAATTAAACCGACGGCAGGAATTTGACTTCACGACAATCACTCGAAGGCACAGGTGTCAGAAATTGTGAAAATGGCAGTTGACGTGGCGCTTGTTTTCAGCGATATTACTTCTTTGTGCCGGTTGGAGGGGCAGATGTAGAG